CTTTTCTGCCTGTGGCGGCTCCTGCCCGGTGTTGTGGGACATGGTCATTCATGCCATACCAAAAGAGCCCCGGGATGCAGGACCGCTGAGCCCGAATGTCAGATGTGTCCATGGGCCAGACTGAGGGCTCCATTTCTGTGCAGGGACAGGGCAGGTGTTTGGGAGCTATGAAGTCCCCTAGAGTGGGGAAGAGGAACCATTGGTGCCAAGACCAGCCCTGTCATCCAGCTCCCAATAGGTAGAATCTCTTAGTCTGTTGGGACTACTTATCCGTAAGGACTACTCACATAAGGAAAGTGCTGTGGGAGCAAGCCATTACATTGGTCCCAGCCTGTGATGAGACATACAAACTCCACACTTGGCAACAAGGACTTAAAGGAGGTGGCAAATGCTGCATCTGCTGGAGGAATTAAAAGGCAGGGAATTAGCTCTTTGGGGAGGCAGGGCTGGAAGTGTCAGGCCTAGGGCAGAGCAGAGGGGAGCCGTGTAGCTCTGACATGGCTGCCCAAAAGGGTCTTCCCTGAGGGGAGAGGATGCATCCCAAAGACATCTAGTGAGGGAAGTATCCTGTAGACTTTGGACATTGGTACGCCCTCTCTCTTAGCTTGGTTTGGGTTTCCCCACCAGGGGAAAGCCTTGGGCTATGCTGAGAGAGGCAGGGGGTCGCAGAGAAATAAGAGGAAGAGGCCCAGGGAGGACAGCCTTAAGCAGCCTTGGTTGCCAGACCATTGGTATTCCAAAGGGGTCTGGGTCTGGGTCAGAGTCTGGTTGGGAGGGCCCGGGCTCCCTTCCTCACAACCCCCTTGGCAGTCAGGGGTTGCAGCGGTGACCACTAGGTCATGTTCCCCAGCCAGACTCCGACTGTCTGGGATTGCAAATACTCGTCCTATGAAGAACTGTTTTGCTCTGTTTTGATGGCAGGACTGGTCCAGATCCCAGAATATCCATTTGATGAGCAGCGGGAGTCTTTTATTTTTGTCTCACTCCTGACCAGGCCTGAGGTCATCCTGGCCTTATCCCAGGTGCGGGATGAGTGCAACAAAGCGTCAGCCATGTCTCTGTTTCACTCAACCTTGTCGAAGTATGGCCGGCTAGAGGAGTTTGAGCAGATCCAGACACAGACCTTCACCCAGGTGAGGAAGGGCAGGGAGAGAGCGTCTATGTAAGGGGAGGGGAGATACAGAACAACCGACTGGGCTCTTAGCATATCCCAGCCAAGCCAGGCAGATCTTAGCAACTGGTGTTTTATTGCAACAGGACAAAGCTTTTCTAGGGAACCCGGGGCAAAATCTGCATCAAAAAGGCTCACACAAGCACCCAGCGATTTCCAGTTTTGTTGTTATTCCTTCTCCCCTTATGCTTCCAGGAACCAGATCTTTGATTTCTTTAAGATCCTCTTTCTTTAACCACAGGGATAATGAAAAAATAGAATTCCTCTGAGTTCTTGTTTAATTAGATTTTTTCACACAATTCAGTGAAAAAGCTTTGGTTAGTAACAACCAATCGAGCAAAACAATAAACCCTTATAAATCTCTTATCTTTCATTAGAGGATTTTCATACACTGTGTACAAGGCTGCTTAATCCTCATGTGACACGTGGGAGGTTGAAGCACCGAGATGTTGAGAGACTTGCCCAAGGCCACCCAGTCTGAGATATGGACCCACCAGGAAAAGTGTTTCATTTTAATTGGCAGAGTGTAAATAAAGCTCCAACTCTCCTGACCCACAGCCCTGTACTCTGTCTATGAGAAAATGCTGCCTCCCTTTGTACTGTTGAACTTAGATTTCTACACACAAATAGCATAAGTCCATGGAACAAGTTTGGCTCTCAGTAGCTTTTGAATGAATTAAAGTCTTGCAGGAATCTGTTGCCTTGAATCCGCTTTCATCAGTTCTAACGGACGGCAAATTTGTATCCCTCAATTCTCGGTCATATTTTACAGAGTTTTCTAGGGCACCCTGATGAAATGTAGATTCTGATACTGTTCTGTAGAAAACATTGGGGCAGAGAAAACTGGAAAGTAGGAGAGTGGTAAACAATAAACCAGACTAAGGCTATGTCTATACTTACCGTGCCAGAGATTGATCTTCAGGCATTTGATTTAGTGGGTCTAGTAAGGACCCGCTAAATCGAATGCTGATGGCGCCCCCGGTTGGCACCAGTACTCCTTTATTGGCAAGGATTAAGGGAAGTCAGTGGGAATGTTGACTCCTGTTGGCCTCCTGTTGTGGAGTTGCATACCTTTAGCTGACCTTCCGGGTCTAGACCTGACCTGAGGTAGATGCTTTCCCATCAGTCCTCTGAGGATAAACTCTTCACTGTATATTTCTTTGTTCTAGGTTCAGATGTTTCTCAAGGACACCTGGATCAATACTCTAAAGATAGCCGTGAAGAGCAGTCTAAGGGAGATTGGTAAAGGATGGTACAATCTCTATCAGTCCAATTGGGGGGTATACCAGATGTCCAAGCTACATAAGCTGATGGAACTCATCAAGTTCAACTTGCAAGATTCTGTGCGCTTCCTGGTCCAAGACTCACTGGTCAGCTTCACGCAGTTTTTGCTGGATGCTTGCTGCGGTGTCCTGGATTGCTCGGAGGATATGGACTGGGGAGAGGACCTCATCAACAGCCCGTACAAGTAAGGAGGGGAGAGGTGGGATGGTCAGGCTGAGAGGAGAGCAATGGAGCAGGGAAGAGTGGCAATCTCTTTGTATTTGTAATTACCATTGATTTTTGCAGCAAAACCTTGCATTTGGCTTGGGGTTTCATGCTGCTCCTTATGATTAAGAGCCACCCAGTTCCATCCCTCCCTCTTGACACATCTCCAGCACGCTACCTGGGGCCAGGAGTGGCAGGGACAGAGCTGGACTAATCCCAGCTGTTCTGTTAGTGCCAGCCATGTTGGAGGCCAGGATCCGGTTCAGTTTTTTCAGTAATGTTAGCTCGTGAGTTCTCTCAGCACCCCAGAATAAGGCTGGTCAGTTTCACGGTTGGGATTTAAACATGCAGTGGAATTGCGGTGTTGCGGGGGCCATTCTTTCTACAAACATCTCCCCCCACCCTTTGCAGGCCACGAAAGAATCCTCTCTTTGTAGTGGATCTGATTCTAGATAACACTGGGGTTCACTACAGCACGCCTCTGGAGAACTTCGAGACCGCCCTCGTCTCTCTGTTTGACAAGGGGATTCTGGCGACCCACACCATACCACAGCTGGAGAAGGTGCGTTACTCTGGAGAAATATGACTATGACAGAGACTAAGTCGCCTAGTGACCCAGAGTGTTTGGCAGCTGGTACGGGTGGCGTGTTGGAAGGAAAATAGCATTTAGATGAATGGCCTCAAACCCTGGTGGGGAACATCCCTTTGGAGTATTTCCTCTTCTCCCTGTTGAGAGGCTATTTGTCCTCCAAGGTCCTCGCATCTTCCCTCTATGTTTGTACTGGGGTGGGGTAGGATGAATGCAATAATTCCTGGTGCAGGGGAGAAGGATGGGCCTCATAACCTTCCCTCCTGATGAATGATTGACCCATCTTACATAGCAGTGGATTGTGAAATATGTGGCTTCTTCATACCCTAAAACCTGTCCCCCCCTGCTGGAACCTGAGAAGCAATAGGGTGATCCCTGCTTGTTTGAATGACCTCGCTGTTTGCACTCTCCCAGTTCGTATTGGAGAACATGTTTATTAGAGGCACCCTCCTGCTGGAGTCGGTGGGCCTGCACGAGCCTGCTGTGGAAGAACTGCGCAAAGCTATCCGGTCAGCCATCCGCAAGGCAGTGATCCCTCTCTATGCCTATGCCAAGAAGTATGAGAACCAGCTAGAGCTGAATAACAATGATAACAATTTCTTTCTAAAGTGAGTAACTGCAAGAGGAGACACCCCAGACAGGACTTCCAAGTTCCTTAGAAGTGTTCCTTGCTTAAGAGTGTGGGGGGGGGAGCGGGGGTGTGTTCGCTGTTCTGTGCTCTCAAAAGCATATGGGATGCACTTCAGTGGACAGCACCAACAGATTAGCCCTACCAATTCAGAGCACTAGAGCTTCAAATCCAGGCACCAGCAGTAGCCAATAACATGCTTTCAAAGGAAGTCAACACAGTGACTGGTTCAAGGCTGTACATTGGTGGTAGCATCGGGAGTTCCTGTCTGCCCCTAACAACAGTCAAATTCCCTTCGGATCTGATTGGTCATTAAACTACTGCTCCCTGTAAATCTGGTTAGTGTGCGTAACCTCTGTATTTTCAGGCTGATCACAGGGTATAGGAAGCATTGTTTCAACTTGCATGTTCCCACAGCTAACCCTGCACCCCCAATCCACACCTCAGTCATCCTTTTACTTCAGTTACTTTCACCTTCTTTTCAGGCCTCCTGTCAGTCTTTAAACTGAGCTTTAAAACCCCCGTTCTCTCAAGAATTCCTGCTTCTCCCCAATAATCTCCCCTCACTCTCTCTTCCTTGAACCATTGGATTATTGTGTGTTGTCATGTCTAGCTTACATTGTAAGATCTCAGAGGCAGGGAACGTATCTCCTCCATGGTTCTAAAATATGTAAATCCAGAGAAATCTGTGATTTTTAAAGGTAAATGCGCCCGTCGCTAATTTCATCTCCTGGACTTTTGGACAGTGCCCTAATGACATCTATGTGAACATGTATATATGGTTTGTAGGTATTAGTGTTCACATGCAGTGTATGATATGAGTTGGCTTGTCTTTGATTATATTTCTGGTTGTAGAGAGTACCTGGTCGTGTGCCCTGCTGCCCAGGATGTGAGAAAAATAGTAAACCTGCACTTGTCTGAAAAGGAAATGCTAGACAATACTTTGCCAAGCTCCATCGTCATTGGTCCCTTTCACATCAACGTTGAAGGTGTCAAGCAAAATCTGTCCAAAAAACGCAAAGCCCTAGCCACCTCCATGTTGGACTTGCTGGCTAAGAACCTACACCTACAGGTGAACAATGTAAGTGTCATGCTTCTATGTCTTGTCTTGCTTGCATTGGAATGGTCAGGTAGGGGTTGTGTTGAAAAAGGCTAGAAGGAAGGTGCGAAGAGCGCACTAACTCAGAGTGCTTGTATTCGTGACAAATTCTGGGCAAGAAAGCCACACCTCTCGCCCAGCTCCTAACCGGTTACATTCATAGATTTAGAATTGTCTGCCTTGCTACTGGGATCAGTTCCTGCAGGAAGCCGATGAGATTAACTAGAATATCTAGACAGTTACATGGGTGAGGCAAGTGATGAAGGCTACAGGGAGTACAAAACCAACGCTGTGTATTTGTAGTTTTAGACCACTCTGAGTGTGGGTCACAGCCAGTTTTGTTACTTACAGTGGATTCTGGCGTACTCGAGTGGTGGTCTGATTTTCAGAGGTGCTGTGCATGCACAGTTGCCATGAACTCTACTGGGGGTTGTGAATGCTTCTCTGAGAACCAGGCCTCTGCTGTAGCCCACTCATTAAAGGGAGTGACCTTATAGGGATGAAGCCCATTAGAGAAGGCTACAGCCACTCCTCTCTTCAGAGTGTGCTTATACCCATTCGCTGTGTCCTCCTGCAGATCTGTGAAGTATTCAAAGCCATCAGCCGGAAAATGTATGAAAAACCAAACAGCATTGAGGAGCTGGCTGAGCTGCGGGAGTGGATGAAGGGAATCCCTGAGCAGCTGAAAGCGCAGGAAGTAAGTAAGACATGCTTTTCGGATCGAAATGGGGTGCGCAGGAGAACAGCTTGGGAATAGAGTGCATGTAGTCCTGGAGGCAGATCGCTCACTCCTTTGACATTTTTATTATCCAGCTCTGAATCTCTCCTTATTGAGGAAGCTGGTTCAGCTTCTTAACTTAATCCTAGCTTGAAGGATCTGGCCTGTCAGTCCATTACCTGTTTTGTCGCTTGGGAGACCTCCCCGATCCAGACCATTGTGAAGCTTTGAGAGTGTGTGTGGTGCTCACAAGATTTGAGGCTTCCAAGCCCTTAAATCTAGAATTTCAGCTAACGTGAAATTTCACCCTAGTGTCATTTAGCCAACTGGGCATGTGCGTGCAAAGCCAGTGTGTCCAAGCAAATCAGGCAGCCGGATGCCGAGCTACCGGATTGGTATGTGCAAAGGCCGGTTATGTGCATGCACATGCCTGTGCAGGAGAAACTTGCAAAGGCAACTGAAAATGTTGTCCTCAATGTATGCTGTATATCCCTTCTAATACTTGGTCATCCATTCAATGATTCTGCTCAGACATTGGATCTTGACTTACTCTGTCTTCAAAAAATTAATTACAAACTTTCAAACTCTACAAATATTGCCCTGGTTTTCTTTTCATACCCATTATACACTGCTGTAGCTCCAGGGACTTCCATGAAGTTACTCCTAAATTGGACTGATGCAGTATATAATATTATAACTAATTTGGCAGTAATACCACCAAGTTACTAGACAGAGCTTTTAATCTTAGGGCTCAAAGCACTTTACAAAGGAGGAATGTGTCAATCCGTTTTTATAAACAAGGAAGCAGAGGCACTGAGCAGTGACGTGACCTACTCAGGGTCATTCAGGAGGCCAGGAGAGCTAGGTTTCCTGATTGCTTGTCCTATGTTAAGACCAAAGCAGACTGTGTTCAGAAAGATCTCACCAAACTAAGTGACCGGGCAACAAAATGGCAAATGAAATTTAATGTTGATAAATGCAAAGTAATCCACAATGGAAAAAATAATCCCAACTGGACATACAATATGATGGGGATTAATTTAGCTACAACTACTCAAGAGACACATCTTGGAAGCATTGTGGATAGTTCTCTGAAAACATCCACTCAGTGTGCAGCAGCAGTCAAAAAGCAAATAGAATGTTAGGAATCATTTTAAAAAGGATAGAGAATATCTTATTGCCTTTATAAAACCATGGGACGCCCACATCTTGAATACTGCGTACAGATGTGGTCGCCTCACCTCAAAAAAGCTACATTGGCATTGGAAAAGATTTAGAAAAGGGCAACAAAATGATTAGGGTTTGAACGGGTCCCATATGAAGAGATATTAAAAAGACTGAGACTTTTCAGCTTAGAAAAGAGGAGTTTAAGGGCGGATATGATAGCGGTCTATAAAATCATGACTGGTGTGGAAAAAGTGAATAAGGAAAAGTTATTTACTTATTCCCACAATAAAAGAACAAGGGGTCACCAAATGAAATTAATAGGCAGCAAGTTTAAAACAAACAAAAGGAAGTTTTTCTTCACTCCGCGCACAGTCAACCTGTGGAACTCCTTGCCAGAGGATGCGGTGAAGACTAGGACTTTAACAGGGTTCAAAATAGATAGATTCCTGGAGGTTAGGTCCATCAATGGCTATTAGCCAGGATGGGTAGGAATGGTGTCCCTGGCCTCTGTTTGTCTGGAAATGAGTGACAAGGGAGGGATCACGTGAGGATTACCTGTTGTGTTCACTCCCTTTGGGGCATCTGGTATTGGCCATTGTCGGCAGACAGGCTACTGGGCTAGATGGACCTTTGGTCTGACCCAGTACGGCCAATCTTATGTTCTTATGTACCCACCTGGTCATATTCCCTTTCATATATGTAGTCCGAGGATCACTCAGAGCAGAAGTGGTTGGAGACTCAGACCCCACTGCGTGTGTGATATAGAAGTCCTCTGTTGTAAGGTTGTGTGTCTATGGCCCTCACAGAATGTGTTGTGCAAACGTGGAGTGTATCCTGCCAGACAGTCCCAATAAGAGCTACATGTGATTTGAGGGGTGTCTCTTTTTCTCTTTCTGTCTCTCTGTGTAGGAACTGATAGGTAAGGTCATGGAAGACTATGAGGTTATGGACGAGTTCCTTTACAACCTTACCCAAGATGATTTCACTGACAAGTGAGTGTGAAAGCAGCCTATTCTGCCGCAATTACCATTCTTAATGCCTCAGGATTTGATCTGCATACCAGGTGCTTCAGATTTACTCCTATGACAGTCCAGGCTAGATGAAACAAAAACAGGACTATGTAGCACTTTAAAGACTAACAAGCTAGATGTGCATTGAACTCCTGATTCAGAAATTGAGTTCCTAGAGATGTGCAGATCCACACTGCCTCCTGCCTTGGGTGTGAGCAAACTTTCTGTGATTGACCTCTGCAACAAATACAAGGCCTTATCTGCTGGTTTAGTTTTATTTTATTATATTATTTCTATTGCAATTGCAACAAGAGGCTGCAACCAAGCTTGGGGCCCAATCTTGCTATGTGCTGTGCTGACAGATGGTAAGATACGTGGTTCTTACTGTATTTCTTGGAATTGTTTAGCAATCCACTCATCTTTTACTAATATGCTGGGTTTCTCTCTCCCAAGCCTCTTCTAAGTGAACAGTTTAGTCTCAGTCACTACATATCCAAAAGTAGAGCACAAAGATATACTTTGAAACCATGTTTCTGTCGCTGGCCAGCCTCTTCCTCAGTGTGATCTGGTTATCTAATTGGTATCCTCCTCCTCATCATCATTCCAATAATATGCTTCTGATTTCTGCTTTTCATCTTTTGGGGCATTCCCATTCCATCTGAGCTCAGGTGGGCTGCGAGTAACTGGCCTCTGAAAATCGCTACGCTGACGGAGATGATTCGGCAGCAGCACCTGGAAGATGAAGAGAGGTTCCGCAAAATTCAGCTCATGGATCAGAACAACTTTCTGGAACGGCTGGACGGGCTGCAGGTACTGATAACCCAGGCCTAGGGGAGGCTGTCCTAATCATGAAGACCTGAGATGGTTGCCGTTCGTTAGCTGGGGAAGCCTCAGGAGTATTTGCAATTCGGTAGAGCCAGTCATTTGTTTTCCTCAAAACTGCTCTTGCATGAGACATTGGGAGGTTGATTTCAGTCATTAGTTTTGTGAAAGGTGTTTGAATTCCATGAAACCCCTTTATTTTTCACAAAGAAGCTGAGCCCTATAAAATAGAACTATTGGGATTCTGAAATGCTGTTGTGGTACTTCAGGGGAGCTGTAATTTGAGTGCTGAGCTCTTAGCTAGACTTGGTCTCCCATGATGCACCATGGACATGGCACTGCCATGATGCACCACTTCTCCTCTCCAAGGGGGAAGACTAGGGTGTCCTCTCCGATACCTTGTCTGAACAGGGAACCCAGCCAGGAAAGGAGAAAGAGACTATGGTGCACCTGATCAGAAACTCCCATGACATGCAATGGCAGTGTTTCAAAATCAAGATATTTCAGATTCAATATTTTTACCCAAAACTTGAAAATTATCCACAGGAAAAGCTCCCCGTTTTTCGATCAGCTTTAATCACTGTGCAACTTATTTTGAAGACTATCTCCAGATGGATGTCACTAGGGGTCAGGGCTAGCTTTAGGAAGTGCGGGGCCCAATTCAAACCGTTTCGACAGGGCCCGGCAACCAGGATTTTTTGTTGACCAAAAAAAAACCACACACAAATTTTGGTTGAGCAAAAAAAAAAAAAAAAAAACACCAGCTACAGGGCAGAGTCCCACCTCGCTCAACTCACCGCACTCCTCCGGGGTCAACACCCCCTCCCGCAATACACCCGGCATGTCAGCACACTTCCGGATTTAGGGCACGGGCCCTATTCTAGTGAATCAGCCTAAAGCCGGCCCTGTTAGGGGTAATGGGATGAATTTAAGCAAAGAAGCTGCTAACAATGAAGACTGGTTGGTTATGGAGTAGCCCACCAAAGGAAGTGATAGGAGCCCCTGATGCTCTCGTTTATTAAGAAACAGAAGAAACTAAAGAAATATCATAGAGTGAACATTTTTGGAGGTGGACAAAGTGGCTTAGTAGAACTTTCATTTTAATTTCTGGGCTTCACTTTGCTGGCGGGGCAGCTCAGCGTAGCTCAGTTTGGGCCTTGACTGACGGCTCTTACGGTAGGTGGGTAGCAATTGCTTTCAAGAGGAAGCGGTAGGTGGTGTCCATGTTTGTTCTTCCCTTCAGCTGATCCTGATCGGGGCTTCTCACTGCTTCCTCAGCACCTTCTTCATGGCCTGAGGAGACCAGGATTTGGAATAGGGGAGGGAGAATGTGAGATTGAAAATGGGCATTAGTGAGCCCCGTCCGATTCTCTGCATGCTGGAGAGCAGTAAAGAGTGAACTGTGACGCTGAGCGTCTACAAAGCAGCATGCAGCGTTCTGGGCCTGTTCCACACACTGCGCCTGCCTCTTTTTTTCCAGCTGCTCGTGGCTGGATTTTCTGTCCATATGGACATCACCCGAGCGCATGAGATAGCAAATGAAGCGAGAAGGGTGAAGAAGCAGTTGAAGGAATCTCAGCAAATGGCACTGCTCTACAACAACAGGGAGCGGATATTTGGCTTGCCGGTTACTAATGTAAGTGTCACATCATGGGGTCTGTGAAAACAACAGCGCACTAGTCCTGATGGAGGCCTTTGGATACTACCGCAAAATGAATTAATCAATCAATCAGTACCCTGGGTAATATCCCAATTGTGAGATTAAATCATTTCTTTACTTCTCTCCCATTTTGGCTTATCCACCAGTCCTTATGTTGACTAGAGAGGTCCACCAATCCAGTCTGATGGTCACTCCATTTCATTGATTCTCTGCTTGCCTCTTCTATGCTGCGGAAGAGCTGGTCCAAGAAGAGATGGAAGGGCAAGCAAGGAGGTTTTATAGCCACTTCTGTGGCAGAGCTCTGTCTAGCCATGCTCCTGGATCAAGAGCTCACAGGGCAGTGTTAGCCAGATGTATGGAAGGCTTGTCTCCTGAACGGTAAAGGTGAGGGAGGTCACGATGTAGCAATTCATTGCTGTGGGAGTGTTACTGCACACAGTATGGGGCTGCGGTCGTATGTGTACAGGAAAGTGACGTTGTGGGTATGGGAGGCAGAGTCTGTCTTAAGGAAATCATTTTATTCACAACATTAGTTGGCTCTAGCTCCTCAGAAATGCTCATGCCCATGTTCTCGCTCTTTCCTTTGTGGCTGTGGAGCAGAAGTGTCTTCTATCATTTCTCTGTCTTCACTTTCAATAGCTTAGTGTGTATTTTTTTCTTTACTGTTAAGGATCAAAGTTGCAACTGTGGATGTAACACATATGTCCTCAAAATGTTCATGGACCCATTGCATCCACACAACAACTTCATGTCACTGAGGCGCCTGGTTCAGGAAGGCTGTCAATTGACATGCGTTAATGCCTGTGATTAACACAGTCCGGGATTAATCCGTTGATTTTTTAATGCGTTAATCTCAGGCATTAATACTGCGGCGCTTCAAAGGAGCAGTGGAACACGGAGCCCAGGATCAGCTAGGGACCCCCCAGCTGACCCCAAGCTCCGCTGCCCCTTTGAAATGCACAGAGGCGGCATTTCAAAGGGGCAGCCGACTCCGCATGGGGATTCTGCGTGCATTCCGGGCTCTGCGTGTGTTTCCCCAGAACCCAGTGTCAGCTGAGGAGTCCCCAGCTGATCCCGGGTTCCGCTGCTATGTTCTGGGGAAATGATGTGCAGAACCCAGGATCAGCTGGGGATTCTGCGTGCATTCCGGGCTCTGCGTGTGTTTCCCCAGAACCCAGTGTCAGCTGAGGAGTCCCCAGCTGACCCCGGGTTCCGCTGCTATGGGGAGCCTAGGATAAGCTGGGAGCCCCCAGCTGATCCCGGGCTCCACAGCTGCTCATTTGAAACACCGCCTTGGGATTTCAAAGTGGCAGCGCTGCCCAGCTGTGCAGTGCTGCCCCTTTGAAGATCGACTAGTCCACTAGTCAACTGACTATCTGATAAGGATTTGTTTATTAGATAGTTGACTAGTCTTTAACTTCCCTACCGCTCCGGCACTTCAGAGGGGCAGTGCAATGTGGAGCCGAGGATCAGCTAAGCACTCCAGCTGATCCCGGGCTCCTAATGTGCTGCCCCTTTGAGGCGCTGGGGTGGCATTTCCAAAGGGCAGCACAATGAGCCTGGGATCAGCTGGGCAGTCCAGCTGACCCCGGGCTCCGCTTTGTGCTGCCCCTTGGAGACTCTGCCCGGCGCTTCAAAGGGACAGTGCTGCATGGAGCCTGGGGTCAGCTGGGGACTCTAGCTGATCTCAGGCTCCATGCAGTGCTGCCCCATTGAAAGGCCATGGCGGCGTTTCAAAGGGGAGGCACACGCAATTAATCACGATTATATTTTTTAATCGCCTGACAGCCCTATAAATCAGCTGACTGCTCGTCAGATGAAGCATTTGCATGCACAGATATGGGCAGCTTCAGGGGCAAGTGGAATGTGCATTTTGGTCAGTGTGTCAGAGGCACCCTCCTTTGAGAAGCTGGCACTGAATGTCATAGGAATAAATTAAGTCGTGGTTTGAACCTGGATTGAAATTAAACGGAGTTCTGGCCATATATGCATGGTTGAATTTGGCTTAGGGCAACTGTTTTCCTGTGTCTGTCCTGTCTCCGTCTACAATGCTGGATTGTTTCATGACTGAAACAAGAGGACTGGAAAAAGGCAAATCTAGTGCCCATCTATAAAAAGGGAAATAAGAACAACCCAGGAAACTACAAACCACTTAGTTTAACTTCTGTGCCAGGGAAGATAATGGAGCAAGTAATTAAGAAAATGATCTGTAAACACTTGGACCTATGGGTGTGATTTCCAGAGCTAGCAATGACTAACGTCTTGTCATGAATTGGTCTGTGCAGACCCTGCTGTGCACTCCAGATTCAAATGGTCCTCTGTTATGGCATGCCAGGGAATCTCCAATTCATCTGGTGAAGTGGGTTTTACCCACAAAAGCTTATGCCCTCATACATCTGTTAGTCTCTAAACCTGGTCTGCACTAGAGAGCCTTAGGTTGAATTAATAAGTGGAGCGTTCACACTACCAAGCCCGCTATTTCAAAATAACAGGCCAATTATCTCAAAATCTGTACTCCTGCTTTCCTCAGGGAATAACACAAATTCAGAAATAGTGGCAGTGTGGATGCTCCAGGGCTGCTATTTCAAAATAACGACTCCCCAGAGTCATTTGAACTAATTACTCCTCAGTGCTTCCTGGAGGAGTAATTAGTTCCAAAGTAGGAATAAGACCCTCCGGAAAAGGGCACTTTTTCCGGAGGATCGGGGCCAGTGTAGACGCTCTTTTCCGGCTTTTTTAAAAGCCGGAAAAAAGCGGCGGACATTTTTATTTAAATGCCGCGGGGGATATTTAAATCCCCCGCGCATTTCCCTACTACGACT